TGCACTATAAATATGTAATAAATATGCACTATAAAACTACAAATATGCAATGAATATGCATTTAATAGGTAAAAATGTTGAAATATGCTTCTTCTTTTTCAACAGCTTAACAGTCCATTAAGGATCTGCACTGTCACTAGTAAGCCTTTTTATTTTTCTCAGTCCAAAGTCCAGTTTAACGTGGTTAAAATATGCAAAATATTCAAAATAGAATTAGTATTATTTTAATAAGAAAGATCTCAATCGGGGACAATGCTCATCAGATTTCAAAAAGCTTATTCCAATACATATATGCATTTGCATATAAATCTGGTCCCTAGTTATTACCAATCTATATAGTTCTATATTATAGGAAATTATATGCATTTTTGAAGTATGGTGATCATTACTAATTTTACAGTGGGCGATTTGTGATAATTTAAATTGATTTAAATATAGTCGAGAGGGGCAAGATAAAGTTATTTTTACTGGGAAAGATAGGGAAGTACCTCATCTTACCCCAACATATTTTATGAAAATATTTAAATTATATTCCATTTGATTTTTCTAATAAAAGTACTAGGTTACAGTGGCAGCTCATGAGTAAAGATTCAAGAGAGTAAACATTTAAATTATTATTAGCTTAATCACCTAACATAAACACTAAATAACAATGATTGAAAAACATTTTTTTTCAATTTTCATAAAAATATTCCTAAAAATTATTATTCTTACAAATTACATACTATTTTTTTTCAGGGGAGACTCAGTTTCAAAGTCTTCCCTGACCAGCTGCACTTGAACAATTGTAAAACTTTATTATTATTACCTATTATTTTACTATTTACTATAATATATTATAGTTATTATAGAATTATATAACAAAAATATTTAGTCAATAAAATAATAACAATATTCAAATTAAATAAGTATTATTCATATTATTTATTTAAGTAGAAAATAATACGAAACTATAAAAGAAAAGCCGATAAAGCTAAATGGTCTTTAGAATCCATGACAAATACCGTTAGTACAATTATACAATTATAAATGGTGTTATGGGGTACAAAAGAGTAGTCATATCATTTGGTGTACCACAATCAACATAAAAAAAGAAGGTTAAAGAATTACGTCTTGGTGATAGTAAATTCAAAAAGTGCTTAGATTCTAAAGTTTATTTCGATTCAAATAAATTAAGTTAAAATTAACTTAACTTTTAACTTAAATTTAACTTTTTAACTCGTTCATGTCCAGGCTTGCATTTATGTATACAATATATACAATAGAACAATAGAAATTTATTACTAAACATTAATCGTAGGAATAAAATATTAAAAACTTATTATTTTTTTATAATTAAATAAATAAAAAATAAAAAATTAACTGTATTGAATCACACCCACTTAAGATAAAACATATAAACGTTTAACCTTGATTTTATTCCTTGTACATATGTACATAAGATGTAAATCGAATGTTATGTTTATTCTTTGTAACTTAATTACTTCCTGCTATTTACTCAATTCTTAAATATTTTTATTCATGAGCAATTAATCGTGGTATCATTACTTATTTATTTACTAGTAATTAATATCTTATAAATAATTTAACCTATTCTAACTTGAACGTAAAAAAAATATATAAGTAATTGTATTTGTAAATTAATATTTTTTTTTATAACATATTTTTTTAATGTAGTTCCACATAACTACACAGATCATAATAAAATAGTACATTGTAATATTACGTGAGATTTAATTGTTTCATAGTGATTGAGGAAGAAATACATTTAAACGTTTTAAGTATTCTTCTTGGAATTAAGAAATTCTCAATATTTTATTCATGTTTTTACGTAGTTATATGTACTTCGGTATTTCATTCGGTATCTTAAAGAAATCAATTTAAAGTACATTAAACTCTATGGCCCATTTTCTAATTAAACATTTAATTTCATCTAAGGATTTAAAATTTAAAATTCCATCAATTAAATGAGAACTATTATGTTTTTCAGGTGAATTATTATATACTTTAATATTATTTGGTATGATCTGATTATTATTGAAATTATTATGAATATGAATTGTATTTAATTTATTACTGGAATTTCGGGTTTTTGAAAGGATGGTAAAAAAAGTTATTTTGTCTTTAATATATTGTCAATTCAAATTTGAAGTGGTAGTAAAATTATCCAATGTACTACATGTTGACAATGGTATTGGGACAAAATATCCTGTAATAAAATATCCAAGTCATAATATCCAAGGTTAAAATATCCAACGGATAAAATATCCAGGGATAAAATAACTAATATATAGGACAAAATATCCAAATAAAAAAAAAAAATATAAAAATCTGTATAACATTTTTTATTTAAATACATAATTGTTCATTTTTAGATCACATTTTAATAACATTTAACATTAATAATACTTTATAATACAGTTATAAAATAATAATAATAATAAAAATAATATGTTGTATTATGTAATAATTTTTTTTTTTATTATGTAATCAACATTATAAGAATAATATAAGATAGATAATAGAAAAATTACCTACATCTTTAAGCATAAATAATTATATCTTTAGTTTTATGTAGTGTGTTATAAAGTAACATAGTTTTATTTTTACTATTATTATTTTATTATTATATTAAAAAATATTAAATAATGTTAATTTTGATTTAAAAATGAACAATGTATCTAAATAAAAAATTAATATAAAAATAAAAAAATTATGTACAGATATACAGATTTTTATTATTTTTTTATTTGGATATTTCGATCTTGGATGTTTTGATTCGAATATTTTAGTACAGGATATTTTTTCCTAGATTCGTTGATAATACAGGGTCAACCAAATTTATTCGAACACTGTTTGTAAATTCTTCTGCCACTCTCCTTCTTTTAGATCTAACACTAAAATTACATATTTTTTTACGATATGGCATGTTTTATTAAGAATCTTAGACTGAAAAAAAACCAAAATGTTCAGAATGAAAAATCGCTCTATGTTTTAAATTTTAAATGTATTAGGAAAATTTACAAAATTAATTTATTTTTTATTTTATGTATTTTTATCATTAGGTAAAAATAATAAAAATTCGATACCATGACATACGGACGTGGTGTCGTTTTAAACAGTTATCAGATTTTCGCTATTTTAAATCCTGGTTATATAACCAGCACTAGGTTACTAATGAATTATTCAACACATTTTGAAAATGTCTAATATAGATACTTATCTATACATGTTGACGAATTATACTAAAATTATCATGTACAACATAAGATTTTAACAATTATTACCTAGGTATAGGTAACCATCAAAATTAATTTCCATTTAACATTCAACCTAGAATTTAATATTATAAGCATCTACAGCTAGGTAGTTATTTTCGCCATATATTAGATTTATATCTTTATTCTACTTAATTACTTATAATAAATTAAAAAAATAAAGTTATAATAAATAATAAATAAACTACAGCAAATTGTAAACATAAAAATTAAATAAATGTAACTAGTACTTCCTGTACGTATTAGATACATTTACGGGTAGTAGAAATGTAAAGCAGATACTAAATATTTACTTACGTGAGGATACCTGCAGCAATACAATACACAAGGTGGAGAGTAAGAAATCAGAATTTAAGTCATAGGAACAAGTAACAAATTTCGTAACTCGTATAAAAGTATAAAACAATAAATATTAGTTGCTGTAATTTTCAAAAAGGCAAAAAAAAAAACTAATAATAAATATCATACATGCACAATTATTAAAATAAGATAGTACGATACCGCCGAACACCTTATGCCGATCGCCGTTCAATATTCTTTCAAAATATAAAATCGCCAACGATAAATATAAAACTGAATAAAATAAACACACTGTAATCTGCACTATTACAGTATGAATACATGATATTCATTGTTCGTCACGTGACATGGGTCGTATACCACAATAAAATTCTTTTTTTGAAATATTGGCGGCACGTTTGAAACCATTATCCACCCAAAAATATCAAATAATTTCATTTTAAAACTTTTGTTTTTGTTTACGAAATAATATTATTTTCTAAATATAATTTAGAAACATCGTTTTTCATAGTAAAATAAACATATTTTAAACTATAATAATATTATTTCTATTATGAGGACATATTATAATATTCAAAATATATTTTAAAAAATTCGTTTTTAATTACATAATGATAACTAATTTAGCTTAACAATTTTTAATTTTGTTTATAATATCATATCATTAATATTTTTATAATATTATCATGAAAAATAATTATTTGAAATTGTGTTAACATTTTTTTAATAATATTATTTTTAAAATGAAGATATGATATTAATTAGATAATATTATTACGAAAATGCTATTTGGGTAGTCGCGACAAGTTATTATATTTGCAACTTTATAAAAAAAAAAAATACTGAATGTTTGCATACATGTTTTATATGTATAATTTAAGTATTTTCAAAATTTAATTTTGTAAAAATTCAATAATTCCATTTATGATTTTAGTTATTAAGTAAAATAACTAATTATGCTGTTATTCTATAAAATAAATAAGTATTAATTGCAGTGACTCAAAAAATTTATTGAAATCTATATTTATTAGCATATTAAGTATATTCCATACTTTTGGAATATTTCATTAACAATTGTACTATTTCCAGGCACTTGAAATTTTAGGTTTTCTCAAATTTTAGATCACATTTTTCTCGTTTCGAAAGTTAGATAAACTTTTTTTTTTGTTTTTGTCACATTTGCAATACACAAAATATATGAGTAATAACTTAAATTTTAATTGTTTTCAGATTTTAAGTTGAGTTAAAACAAGAACATTACATTTGATGAGGTCAAGAAAGTAATTATTGCCCTTCAATATTAACCATGCTGATAAACTCCCCTCAGGTATATTTTCCCACACCATACAACGTACTAAAGATATTCAAATTTCCAAGGTTTATAATTGGTAATATGCCAGAACCGTTCATGAAGTATCGCTTATTATTTAATTTCCCGTGGTCGGTACAAGTTCTAAAGTTGTAACCAGTGATTTAGTTTTACTTATTTATTTATTTTTTATAGAATAAAATGTTGACTCATGCAATCTTCTAGACGATACTTAAATTGCTGTAGTGTAAGATTATATACATTAATATAAATATTTAATTAGTGAATAGTGACAGAATTATTATAAAATGATTAACGAAGACATTCAATACGAAGTCCAAGTAACAAATGCGTACAAGAACTATGGGGCAAATAATGTATTTAATGGTTTGAATATGAACGTTACATCAGGTTCAATGTAAGTACTCGTAATTATGTTTGTACGACATTTTTTCATAAATGCAATTTTCGTTTTTTTTTTTTTTTAAACTAACGTGGTTGAACATATCCATTTTGTACATGCTGGTTTGATACATGCATTTTTTATGGTAATTATTTTCAACAAAACCTATTAAAACGAAAAAAAAAATGAAATGCTTTAAAAAAATAATTTAACGATGTTATACTTTTAAATACTACAATAGGCATAAAAAAAAAAAAAAACATAATTATTCTTTTACTTTCAATTTTATGGAAACCTAATGAATTTGTTCCCATTAATTTAAATATTATTTATTTATAATATACCTTAAAATTGGGTACTGAACGTACATTTAACATGTAATACGTAATTATAACCAGAAATTGGCTATTGGACGTATGTTTGTCATTTACGTCTGTAAGACAAACACTACCTACGTAGGTGTAACGTCTTTAAAAATGTTATGCTACTAGATTTGTTATGAAACTACGCATTGTCATGTAACCAAAAATTTAATTAGACTTTTTTCAGCTACAAACATTTTTTGTAGATAAGCATTATATGATAGGGTTTAAAATTATTTCAAATATTTTCTAATGTATTTATTTATTTTGTATTTAAATACTCATTGAAAAATATATTTATACACTTTTTCGTTAAGGTATTTTTATTTTTACCCAAAATATATATATTTGAAATGTATATTTTATAAGTATGATTATATTGTTCGGATACATCTCAATATCAATAAGCAGAATAAATTGTTTGACCGGAACTTTGTTTTTGTTTTGATATTAATGGATTTGAAGCATTTTATATTATTATAATACTGAGTGAGTTATGTGAAATAAGGTTAATTATTTATTATAAGAGAGTTGATCCTCTTTACTTAGGTTTTTACGTATTGTGTGGAGACTTTATTATTGTTAATTAATTTCCTTATCTATAGTCTACTTAGAATGCGATTAATGTTTCTTATAAATCGAATAGAGCGTACCGCTTTAATGAAATTTACTAATTTATCAAACAAACTGGATTTTTATTCAATTTAAATATTCTATATGAACAAAAATTAAAAAATAGTATTTTAATTTGAATTAGCTTTGTAATTTTGTAATATTTGTTTCGCATGGATTATTTCATTTGAGTAAATTTTTTTGTAAAATACATATTGTGAGGATTGTTACTAGACTAAGTGAACATTTTTATTTGTACAGTATGAGTTATATGTGTTTATGAAGTGTTGGATGGAATGTAGTGGAATTTTTCGGAATCACTTTTTACATTAATATACAATATCTGCATCTATATTGTAGTGTGTTAAGGATATCGAAATAATATACTATACTAAAGTTAATATTTGCAAAACGATTTACGGCTACAGTATGAAATTTGATATCAATTCAAAAATAGTCACTTGTTTGCTGTGCGATAACAGCTGCACATGAAATGCTGGTGGATAATTGTAGGTGCGTGTATGCGGAAACGGCCAACACGCAACCCTTCGTGTTCGAATACTTACATACATGTCGACAACACTGCAGGACGAAGAGAGTGGATTAGAAAATTAGCATGGACTGGTTAAATCTTAAATTCAAATCAGACCGGTATTGAGTATTGGTACCCGAAGGCCGTTTTCCACACACACTGATCAGATCGGAACCGGAGCCGACGCCCGTGCCGGTACCGGTTGTTCGATTTTTTCACACATACCGGTAAAACCTAAGACGGTTTTATTTCACACACACATACACACACACACATAACGAGGAAACAATGGTAAACAGTTTTTGTACTCACTTGGGTGAAGTCGTGTTTTAGTTATTTTCTCTGTTGTTCTCAACAATGTGTGCTGTTCTTAACAAGCGCCATCTGTTTGGGCCACTGTACCTTCGAAGGAAGTACCGGAGTGACAACATTAAAATACGATATTGGATTCATCATATATTAAGTGTAATGTACTTGGAAGGAACCGTATCATATCGATAAAACTATTTTAAGGTTTCCCCCCGTTACCGACAAGACCTGTGCCAACCTGTGCGTACACGTTTGTGTAAGAAAACATTGAGATCGATAATTCGGAGATCAGTCCGACATTCGAATTATCGAATTCAACGCCGACTGCGAATTCCGGAATCGTCCACCGGGCCGACAAATTAACCGGTCCGGTCTACGTGCGAAAGCACTAACTCCGATTCCGATTTTATCGGTGTGTGCGTGAAAACAGCATAAAAGGCCTAAAAGGCGCGATCCAACGGCGCGACGCGCGTGATTCGTCTGTGCACCAAGTCACCGCACATGCCCACGTTATTTACGTTACACAATCCCACGGCGCATTTCTGGGCGCATTTCTGGGCGCATTTCCCGGGCGTTAATTACGAGCCACCCCACATTTCCTTTGGCTCGTGTCACAGAAAGTGGCGCTGAACTCAGTGTTCAAGTCTAGTCTTGACCAGATCATATTTTTAGAAGGGTGGTTGGTGCCGTGGTGCATTAGTATACGAATTAAAAGTGAATTAATCCAACTAACTGTAAATTACAATACTGTTCATTTAACAATAGTTGTTAATAAGCAATAAGCAATAATAAGCAATTATTGCTATTTAAGACGTTTTAGTACCTAAATGCTAAAATAGGTTAAACATTTTTGAGAAGGGGTGAACTACCAACCACCGAAAGCACATTCCCGGGTGGGGTGGAACGTAAATTGGGTAGCTATTGATTAGTACGTTCAAAATTTCGTTTGGCGTCACTTGTCACAGATACCGACAATCATCGGGAAAAGACGCGTCGCGCCGTGAAACACCGTTCCTACGGTGTATGCGTGTATGCTGTAACGCGCCATGCGCCGTGAGATTGCACCTTAACGTAGTTGAAAATAATAACGTATATACGCAAGTATAGAAAATACGATACTGAACAGTATTATCGTATCGTCGTGCTATTCGGATCTCTTATGAACTAGGGTTAGTATTAAATAAGGCACGATTATAGACCATCGGAAAAATAATAATCGAGCTATTTCACCGTTCTTCTGACCGCACGTTTATTGTTGAAGGAGACTTTAACGCTAAACACTGCAACTGGAGATGTATAATTTTGATTTACTAAGGTCATATGGTTCTTAATGTGATCCAAGATATTAAATATAAAATTATTTCACCCCAGGGTCCCACATACTAGCCATTTTATCACAACCCCATTAGTTTTAGATTTCTTCTTGTCCTCAATACCAAGACATATACATTTGAGCGTACAAAACTCAAACCATAATACTTATGCCACAATCCAATTATTATAGATATAATCACTCTTTTCACTTACATCCTTCTCCAAATATCACTATCCAAAGGTACAGTAAACCATAGAAAATTCTCGATACTACAGTGTGCCGGCTTTGAAAGTTTGACTCAAAATAATTTAACGACGAGTTCCACCTTTGTCATTTGTTTAATTCCAATAGACGTTGTTTAAATATAGAAACATTAGATAAAATACAGTCGAAAAGATATTATTTTCGATTGACGGAACATTTCACATACGCATTGTTTGCCATAATAATACACTAGAGACAATGTGTCTATTTAATTATTATCATTGCTTTATTTCAAAAATAATATAATGATGAAAGACATATCCAAAAAATACTATTTGGTGATAAATATACATGTAATAAACGCTTAAAAAATGTAATAATTTTAAATAGGTACACATCCAAAATGTGAATTTTATATAGTTCTTGATATAAATACTATGATAATGACTCTTTGATTATTTACAAACACAGTAGTTAAAACTAATAAGTTATGAAAAGTAAAACTATTTCAATCTGGAACCTAAAAACATCTTGATAATTTAAAAATTCCGATTCGGTTTCGATACTAAATTTATCAATAAAAGGTTTCGGTTCCTAATATTTAAAAGGTTCCAATGTTAGAACCAGTTCTTTTCGGTTTGGTTCCTATCCCTGGTTGTAATGACAACTAAAATAATGTGTGCTGGCTAAGACAGTTCCGTGCGAATCAGGGTTATTCAGTTAGTATAAAAAAAAAAAAATTATAAAATTAAATAAATAAAAAGCTATCCAATTAAGTTAAGTTCAGTCATAATTTTATTGATTAACGCAAAATATTTTTCAATTTATATAAATATTGAATATTAAAACAATTTCTTATGGTTTTATTAATTACTGTTGTTACTATAATAAGAATATTGATATAATAATGAATATGAATAATGAATGCAACCTTTTATTACTTTAGCTATGGTCTCTTAGGTCCGAGTGGTTGTGGCAAATCGACACTACTTCATTGTATATTAGGAACAATGACATTAGATTCCGGTACTATTGATTTAAAAGTAGAAAGTTTGAAAGACGTTGGATACATGCCACAAGTAAAACTTCAATTTATATGAATTTTAATATTGTGTTTTTAACAATATCCGATATTTGAAGGATTTATGTTTGGAGACAGAGTTAACAATAAATGAAACGTTTGAATACTACGGAACATTGTATAAGATGAATGAGAAAAGTATAAAAACAAAAAAAGTTGAACTTACCACATTTCTACAACTATCAAACACGGATAGTTACATTAAAGATTTGAGGTAGGTAATTCATAATGTTATTATTATTATTAATATTATTATATTGATTGATAATTGAACATTTTAAATATTTTAATACAAATAGTGTAGACGATGGTGTATATTTGAAGGAGAGGGTTCCCAGGTCTTGATCCCCTCAGAAGAAAAAGAGTTTACGGCTTAGCGATGTAATTAATAAATAAGCACTATATAATGACAACTGAAGAAATTATTGATGAACTGACAAAAAAAGACATTCACCTTTTATATAATCACTTATTTTATAATAAAAATGTGAAACCCCTCAAACAGAAATGTCGAAAATATGCCTTTAAACATGGATAAAACACGTTTATTTATTAAAACTAAGACTGTTTAGTTATTTTGTACACTTGTATGAAAAAAAATTTCAAAACTATTTGGAGGGATTAAAATTATATTCTATTATCTTTAATATGGGTCTAAAATTGTTATTCATTTTATGATAACTTTATCTTGTATGCAGGTACAATTGGGTTTTTGAGATAAATAATCGATTGACAAAATTGTATAACAAATAACTATATCTACTTATACTAATGTATTTTTTGTTGTACTCTAGAAGAAGCTTTAAACGATATTAGGAAAAAAATGTACCAAGAAAAAAAGCACCTGGGAAAAAAAGTACTATATTATAAAAATAAATAATAAAATAATAATATATAAATATTAATAATAAAAAATTAGTCAAAAGTTCGTTATCTTCGATTACTAGCAATATTTAATAATAACTCTTGCAATGTAATTTCATTTTTCTTTAAACGAACACATTATGCTTTTAATCAACATTGCATATGTTCAAATATATATATATATATATTTTACTTGCTTGTTCATTAATTTAATTTAAAACTAATCATGCTCTATCTGAGCTAACTAACTGTATCCATTAAAAATTTTGTTTTATTATCATGTATATTGAAGAAAAAATATTAGTTAGTTATATTACTAGCTTTAATTTATAATATTGATTACCAAATATTGTTTTGATTTCTTTTTGTTTCTTCATAATATAAAGGAAATCAGATACTTTTTTGTTTGGATATTTTTTTTTTGGGTACTTTTTTGTTCGAGTACTTTTTACCGGTTGCTTTTTTTCTTGGTACTTTTTTCCCTTGGATTTTTTTTCTGATTTTTTTTCCGGATACCGCTTTAAACATGTACAAGGTAGTTTAATTTAATTTAAAAATTTAAGAATATTGAAAAAATATTTATATTATGGTAATTAGTTAGGTTATGCAAACATTCTGAAAAACGACTATCACATCACTGAAGTTGTTGTTTACAAAACAAAATCATTATAATTATGCAAATTACAATAATTATAAAAAAAATTACAGGTTATTTCCAAGGACATTATGATATTTTAAATCTTATCTATCGAATATTTTGTAAATTAATCAAATATTATTTTGTTATTATATTTTTTACAGTGGTGGACAGAGCAGACGAGTATCGCTGGCTATTTCGTTACTGCATGATCCAAAATTGATTATATTGGATGAACCAACAGTCGGAATTGATCCTATACTGAGAAACGAGTAAACTATTTATTTAAATATAAATTATTTGAATTCGAATAAATTAATTACAGTATTCTATAGTATTTGGACTGAGTTCACAAAGATGGTTGTTCAACATAAAAAAACCATTATAATAACTACTCATTATATCGAGGAAGCTAATCAGGCTAACTGTGTAAGTTTGTCTATAAGTAATTAAATTAATATTTTGTAATTTTTTTTCTTTTTTGAAAAAACAGAAAATATAACGCCACTACCAAAACTTAACAACTGATTAAAGACTTTTATAAACACTGAATTATTGAAGATGTAATATTTTAATTACAAACATGATATAACGTTGTTAATGTGTTCAACAATAAAAATAACTTTTCATGAATAACTATTATTGTAATTATTGTTGTAGATTGGCCTGATGAGAAATGGAGTTATTATTGAAGAAAAATCACCCCAAGATATTCTCACCAAATGTAATACAGATTCTTTGGAATCAGCTTTTTTAGAATTATGCTGCAATCAAGACAAAAACGAAGTATTTTGACTCAAAATTTGTAATATTTAACTATGCATTACCAATGTGAAGTAGTGGATTTGAATTGTTTTTTTTTTTTTACGAAGAAAATATTGCAACTACTTTTCTTTTTATCCTTTACAAGTATTAAAAAACACACATTTTTTGCACTTTATATGCATAAATAATATCAACAGCAATATTAGTATTGATATTGATATTTTTGTATTGTGGTACCTACTGTAGTATTGATATTACTGAAAGTTGTATCGATTTGATTCCGTAAACCTATTAACAAATAACCCTTCATATATACATTACCTAAAATTTTTCGTGGAAAACATAACCATATTATTTTACCAATTGATTTTACTAGATCTATCTTATAGTGTATAAATATTATACGTTTTTATTATTGTTATCGCAGAATAATAGTTACATATTATCAGAAGGGGTTCACTAAGAGCAGGTAATTTTAAACGCATACTCGTCGGTTCAAACAAGGGATGGGCAAAAATGTTTGAACATCGATATTCGATTTATCAATACATCGATTTTTAAAATATTTGATGTGATTGAAGTATCGGCGAAAAACCATCATGTTTCAAAACATCAAAACATTTTTTTCCCCTCTAGATCTGTCATCGATTATACATTAAATAATAAATTCAAGAAAATACTATTGTTTAACTTATATTTTTTAAATACTTATTAAATACTTAAAATTAGAGCTTGTAAGTTCATACATTTGCATATTTTCTTTGCTACACTGGAAAATATGCTAATTGAGATAAAAATCCGTTTTATAACAATGGTAATAAAAATCTAAAGTATAAGTAATAGAGCATGTTTTTGCATGTTTTGTGTGTATTGGTATATTTGGCATATATTTGATTTTTTTGTGTTATTAGCGCATATTATTTTATGTAAATTCGGAAAAATCGTTTTTCGTGAAAGTTAAAAAAAAATTAGATCATTAAATGTTTGAATTCATTCTTATTTACTTTTTCGAACTTGTTTATAAAATCTCAGTATTTTTTTTATGACATTAAGTTTTATAAGTTATAAGCTGTACCACAGAAACAATGTTATTGTGCACCACTACCACTCTCCTTCTATTGACATGACCATTGTAATCTATCTATTTTCGTCGCAACGTGTGTTCATTAATTATAATTTTAATAAAATGTTATCGAAGAAAAAATATAACTTTTAAAAATATGAATGGATAATTATTATTCAAAAAAATGCTTATACCTTTTTTTTCGTGCATAGTAAAGGATTTTTAATGCATATTTCATCAAATGTTAGTGCATTATCGCTTGCTTATTAATGCGTTTTTTAGTACATGAACTTACGAGCCCTGATTTTAACTTTATACTTTATATTGAATAATAATTGTTGTGTACTGCAAACTAAAATAATACAAACAAAATAATTGAACATTTCGAACATAAACATCAATATTAAGTTGATTAATCGAAAACAAATTATCGATATCAAAATATCGATATTTTTTTACCCATTCTTAGTTCAAATCCGCTACACCAACAGTTTTGTTTTCTTTTCGGGACGACTGGCCCAGAATGAAAAAAACTGCCAAAACCTTACTGATCCAACTACCTCGTTTCACATACACAAAAAATCTCACAGTCCAAAACCAATATGTATATAAAAAATAAATACGGAATCACAATTATCAATTATTACTTATTACAATTATCGTTTTAAAATCACCCAATATTTATTGGCCACGAGTTTATAGAATATAAAAATTAAAATTGTATTATGATATATCTATATATTTATATATAAAAAATGAATGTATTAATTGTTATTTTTATTTTTATTTTTTAGAATCATATGGCTAAAAATGTTCCGGCAAAAGAAGTACCACGGAAGAATAAATTAAAGAAAATTGAAAATAACATTGATTTTCATAGAATAAAAGCATTGTTTAAAAAGAATTGGCAAGTGTTTTCTAGAGACTACATGTGAGTCTAATTTTCATTTCTAATATGCAAAATATTAGTATTGCGTTCTTAAAAAAATTAAAATTTATTAAATTAACTTAATTAAGGACTATCGCACGGTGTTTATAATGGAATGCACTTGTATAGGTTATTATTTTCTGTCATTTTTCTTCCTTTACTACAAATGTTCAATTTTTGTAATGCAATTGGGAATGACTTCAAAAACATGCCAATAACATTTAAAAACGATGAGGTTAATTATGAATCCTGTAAAAATTTTAGTACACAACGATGTATTTTTGACGAAAGTTTCAATGAAGCAATGAGTTGCGTTGTACTGGACTACTTTGCATCACAAAATTACAAATTAGTAAGTTGTTCCTTCAAACTTTGATTAGTCGAGCTGCATATAAAGTTACATAAGTATGATGTTTGACTGCGAAATGGGATTATACAATTATTCGAAATAATTTCATATGAATTTTTTAGATTGAAGTAAAAGATCAGGAAGCTGGTGAAATGAGTATGAATAATGCTGGAAATATGGCGTTTATTTACTTTCAAAGAAACTATACAAAAGATTTGATTAAATATATTAATAGAGATGATAACATAACAGAGTACAGTATTTTTATGCATATAACTAATGAAAGTAAGTAAACAACTCGGTCATTAAACGCCATATTTTTAATTTTCTCTCTAAGACTAGTACAATATATGATTTCAGACTTTTTGTTTAAAAATCAAATTAGGATGGATGTTTATAAATCGTATAATCATTTGATGAAAACAGTTTTAAATAATTGTAACATAAATCCGAGAACAATAAATTTACCCGTGGTAAGTAGTTTCTTGAAATATATTTATTTTTTTGTGTTTAAAATACATATGCATACACTATCCGTGCAACACGATATAACATAGGTAATAAGTTTGAGTGCATGTATATGAAAATTATATGTAGAAATTACGTATTGTATATATTGTTTTATGTTTTACTTAAATTATTATACCTAAATAGTATATACACATATTATTTGGTGCGCAATGGTGTTGTGATTTCAACAGGTAAAAAGAGATCGGGGCGCAATGGTGTTGTAATTTTGTCGTAGTGTAATTAGTCGGGTAAAAAAGGGAAAAATTGCGCAATCGTGTTGCAGCCGTACACTATACAGAATATTTGAGAACGATTTGTAAAAAATTTGGAAAAGATAATATATTTTTAGTACTTAAGATTCGGGAATTATTATAGGAAACTTTCGATTTTTGTTTCATTTCAAATAAAATTGATTAGAAAATCAATTACATTTGGCTAATTGAAAAGTCTAATGATATGAAATCCACTGGTTCACTTATAAAGTGGCTAAATAATTAATATATTTAATGAACCTAATGCTTCCATATTAGTTGTGTGTAATCTTTACACATGACAATTAATGTTTGTTTGTGCGTCTCATTTGTTTTCCCAAGATAATTAACAGATTTTGATGAAATTTAGTACAATGATAGATTAGATTACGGAGAAGGACATAGAGTTAATATTTTTTTGCAAAAAATATGAAAGGAAAGTATCAGTACTCTCGATAAAGCCCGAATGAGGAGTTGTTGTATTTTTGTTGCTATAGGAACCGGAAAAACAGAAAGGATTCTGTGTTACCAACGTCAGTAAAAATGGTGAACGTGTCTTATTATCTGAAAATAATTTCCAAGAGCACTATCTTCTCCTCCGAAAATGACACTTACCGCTTTTTTTTATCTTTCTACAAGAGATGAACTTTATGCATGTTGAGGTTCTCAATGTATTGCACTTGGAACACAACAGGAAGATAATGGAAATGCCGAATTCAAGAAAAATGATGGCAGTAGAGTTTATTTACTTTTCAGTTTGGCACTTTTATTATTGCCTTGGTAATAATAAACTGTACTACCAAAAATATTTATTAACGAATAAAATCTACAATCGGAGTACTAGAGGCACGTTGCAAACGTATTGAAAGAGAACTTCAATCAAATAACGACAAGAAACACAGTATAAAGAATGTACCGAGTCTTCATTATGACATCGCATTATAATTCGGTTATTGGGTTATTCTGGGTACCCGCAATTACTCTACTCCATACATTAGTTATTCTGGGCGTTCGTTCTAAAATTGCTATCGGTATAAAATTAAAACAAATTTGCAAGAAAATAAAATTCAACAATGAAACACACGGCATGTGTTGCATTTTAAGAAAAATTGTACTGTTACCTATTTTTACTCCAACGGAACAATTAAAATCAAATCACTTCTTACTGGCCAATTAGATGATCCAAAATTATTTTTGCGCAATAAATGTAAATTTATTACTTGTATTCAAATTACGTCATTTGGAGCAACTGAAATTTGCAATCTCACATTTGTTATAAGTAATTTTGAAGCTACATTCCAAAAACTATGCCAAGTGTACTATGAGATTGGGTCATTGATGACAATGCCTATTGATGATCTGATATTTTTGCAAATATATATACGTATATTATTGACAGATGTGAAAAACGCGTGACAACTTGATGCCAGTATAATTTCATAGAATAAGAAGAAGAAAGAATAATTCTGAAATTATCGGGTGATTTCGTAGAAAATTTTAATCGTTTAAATTGTTTAAAAGGAATCCACCACAATTATGAAATTATAATTATAAAATATCAAACATTCAGGTCATTACTGTTATGTAGGGAAAGTTCTTATAGGACTTGATTGCAGATTCGATCCACCTGAACCATTAAAAAGTCTCTTAAATTGTTCTTATCAAGAATCAAAACATTGTTGCTCCTGATGTCGATAAACAAATATTATATGATTTTTAATGATATTTACAAAACGAAGATTACAATTTTATTTTTATTTTCCTATAGTAACTTAATCTGACGTACAGATAAGGTTTATTTTCATGTGCGAAGTCTGGTAATTCATCTAGTATAGTATATAAAAAAAAAATAATAATAAGAAGAAAAAAAAAGATGTTGTAATAAGTAATAATATTTATCGTTCGATTAATCTTAAAATTATACCAATAATATCTGGAATATACTTCAAAATTTATTAACTTATTTGGAGGAATTGTGCACGATCTAGCCATCATTAGAGTAGCGTTATAGTACGCTTTGATACTGTTTAACCTGACCACAGTCATGATCTTATTAACCATATTTTATTGTTATTCGTAATCGGTTTTGCTTAAATATAGACTTTTCATTATGTCTATATTACACGCTCCATAAGTATATGATTAAATGCATTTCGGCTAATTTTTTAATTAATAAAAATAAAAATGTCTCTGAGATATGAAAAAAAAAATGGTAATTAAATACACGAAAGCATTAATATAAACAATGCTAAGTAATTATATCTTTTAAATAAATCTATATATGCCCTATATTCTTCATTTGTGTAGTTATTACCTATTCCAATTATCACTAATATTATTATTACTTCTTTTTTTTTAGGATGTTCATACTATTGTTGGCAATGATGTTAAGATATATACAAATGGAATAATTGCATTGTTCATAGAAATGTAATTATTATATTTTTAACGTAAAAACAGCATTTTTTATTTTTTATTTTTTTGTATTTTTGTTGTATTTTGAAAACTAGTATTATTAAGAGTATTAATAAATTAAATTGATTCATAAATTATGAAAAATAGTAAAAACATTTTTAGTGATGGTATGAAAAAAATTAAATACATTTATTAACTTTAAAAATTATACCATTGAAGAAAAAAATTATCTTATAAGTGCGTACGCTGTTCTAATTGGTAGATATTATACAGCAATTTATCCATTAACATAATTCATAATTGGACTTATGAAGAAATAATTCTAAAACCAAAAATCATACAGTATTTTTATTAAATGTACTATAGTTGCTGTATCAAAAGTAATTAGTTATTATTAATACGTTTCATTTATTAATTTTTTTTATATTTCTAAAATCATTATATTACACTTAGAACATATTATTACGAGAATCGAAAAAGTTATATAAATATTAGAGGGATGGTTGTTGCATTTGAAATTTGATGATATTTGTCTTTAGAAACATGATTTAAACAAATCGAATAAATATTACTTAGTAATACTATCGACAGCTTTTACGGATGGTACTTGATTTATTATTTATTTATTACAGGACAATATTTTTTCTTCTCAGCTCGTTTGGAGCGTCTATAGTATTGACGGAAAAAATTAGTGGAATCCTTAACCGATCGATGTTCGCAGGTATTTAGTAACAAGAACGAATCAATAAATATACATAACAATTAATCATAACTTTACATCTCATACAAGGTGTCAATCTGATGGAATTTTCAACTGCGCTATTTTGTTTATGTACACTGATACTTTCTGTACAAAGTGTCCTATTTTGCTTGATTTCGTACGTATTGTTTTTCAATCCAATAATAACATCGGGATTGTTTCTGTACTCATTCGGATTGCTGCTTTCCGGATGGATTGGCTTCTTATTTGGTAAGTGATACAAGATTTTTTATGGTTTAAAACGAAATTTTTACAACTGCATTGGTGATGTTTTATTAATATAATAGTAATATTGACGACAACAATGTTTAGATAAATATTCGGGATATTTCTATAATTTTTTATGCTATATAAAAGTTGAACATGCGTACGTTTCTCTACTTTGATAACGAAACATTATTTTGTTTTTAAAAAACGAATAGTATCTGAACCGTTCTATTAGAGAAATTAATAGTACATATTATTATTTACTACTTATACAGAACGTGAAATTTAACTTCCGAGATCTTAGTTATATTCAAGATAATCTATGAAGCTATTATACCTTTGACTAAGTTACATTCGACCGATATTAACATATGCTTGTGAAATCTGATAATTGATCAAAAGTGATAATAGAAGACTTATCGCGTTCGAAAGAAAATTGTTAAAAGGCACCATTTTTGGAATAATCTTCAATCTTCAACCCAGAAATACAGGTATATGAAAGAAGAAGTGCTGAAAATATAAAGAGCCTATACAATAAATCAGATATTCTATCCTTTATAATATATAGAAAATAGCCAAAATGGTTCAAGCATGCGTGAAAAAGAGATGACCATCTAATTATAAATGTATTAATCAATGAAATAAATAAAAAATAGACCTCTAGGTCTCCACAAAATTGTTTGACGTAGTAATAAAAAATGTATTAATTATTGACCAGAACGCAATTTAGAAACAGCTTATCAGAGAGACAGATAGAGAGAAACGTTGATGGCAGTGTTGATCCCAAATGGACAGTTTAGCTAATAAAAATTACTAAGAAAATAGAACTTATACGCATTTCGTTTTATCTTAAGTTATATCAAAACCACAGAAATATGTCTCATAACGAGACATTGGTCAGCGACTTATATCTAGCACCGATCGTCTGACATAATCACATTATCATATTGCTTTATTTTTGTTATTCGTATATATTAAATATGTTTCTAATGGTCCAGTGAGTTATATAATATTGTTTGTGATAATTCATATCGATTCGTTATCACACGTCGCCCCGCCGTCTGTGCAAATAATTAGCATGGCCACTGCTTTTCGTGGTCCACTGGGATTCGTTAAAGGTGTGTCGTTCGTTCACAAAATTATAAATTTTATACAAAATAATATTAATTTTTTAATACCAAGGCGCAAATCACAGAACATTATTTATATTAATTTAGACACGAAT